AATTAGAGGAGCGAGACACAAAGTCCATTTATAATGAATTTTTGAGTCCTAATCCAGGTTAGCCACTAGTATTTTTTTTCCCACTGCATTGATGCACATATACCCTTTTTTACACATGGCACGTGTAGTATATTTATTTAAGAGACTGATACATTCTTCACAAATCACATTCTCACCTCACTATGGGAGCTGCCAGCCAGAGGAGGGAGAGGGAGAGAATTCTGATCCTCTTTCATTTAATTCCAGTTTTAAGCAAATAATTACTTTCTACAAAATTATGTACTGAATTAGCGGATTCCACACCAAGCCCATTCCTCTTATTTTCTCTTTTGACAGAATATGTTTTTGTACTTAGGGAAGCATAATAAAATAACACCATAATTAGTAATGTAATAAAGGGTCTGATTCCATTCTTCTTCTTAATTTAAACAGTCTTTTAAAAAATAATAAGGGGTGGAGCACATCATCTTTCTGAAGTGCATTAGACTGGTAATTTTTAGAGTCTGTTTCTGAAATCGAAAGCTGCTGTTTCTTCCGTAAAACATTTTCACGAGGAAGCACTGCCTAGTGCTACATTCACAGATCTGGTCTACTCGATAGTAAGCCTCACTGATTACTGTTGCAGAGTTTTAAATATCTGGTAAAATCCTTTTGCTGTGCAGTAGAAGCACAGAGATTCACAAAGGAGAATAGATTCCATTTCCCCAGATAGTCCACCCATTTCTCATTAACTGGCACTTAAGGTCTCAATAACTCACTCTGATACATTTGTAAGGGAAAGAAAAAACTGTTTAAGTACTTACCATTGAGAACAGGTCAACAGCCTGCTAAAGAAAGGGAAAGAAAAGGGGTCAGCAGAGGGGAGGACTCTTTGAATTCAGAGGCTGATTGGTTGATGCTGGATAGATTGACAATCACTCTGGCCCAGAAAGGCCCCTCCCAGTCACATAAACTACAAGCACCATGCGAGGTTGTAAAAACTCCAACAGTAACTACGAGACTTGTTCATCCATAAAGAGTTTATATGGTTGCAGTCTAAAGTTAGCTGTGTTTTTCAGGTGCAGCAAGAACTGTCAGAGCACCCTGTTGCCGTTAAGCCATTTCCATTTACGACCCTCTGAATTAATGACCTGAACACTTGCAAACTCAAGTGAGTCAATGGTCAATCCATCTCATGTTTAGTACTCCTCTTTTCCTGCTGGCTTCCAAGAATAAGAATTCGGTGGGGCCTTTAAAATATGTGCAAGGTGAGCTTTGCAGGACCTCATCTGCTAAACCCTCTTCTAAGAACTCAAGTCCTCTTGAAGTGCTGCCATGTCAGTCGGTCTAATAAACAATACAGTGGTGCCTCGCTAGACAGTTACCCCGCATGCCGTTTTTTTTGCTAGACATTGACTTTTTGCGTTCGCTATAGCAATTCGCAAAACAGTGATTCCTATGGGGGAATTTCGCTGGACAATGTTTGGTCCCTGCTTCGCAAACCGATTTTCGCTAGACGACGATTTTGACAGCTCCCTCCGTGCTCACAAAATGGGTGTTTTCGGGACCTAAGCTTCGCAACACAGTTATTTAAATAGCTGATTGGTGGTTCGCAAAGCGGCTTTCCTATGGCCGATCTTCACTAGACAATGATGATTCTTCCCCACTGGAACACATTAAACAGGTTTCAGTGCATTCCAGTGTGGAAATGCTTTTTGCTAGACGATGATTTCGCTAAACAGCAATTTCAGTGGAATGGATTATCATCGTCTAGCAAGGCACCACTGTAAATATTAAAAAAACTGTTTAGGAAATACTAGCAGAACAATGAAGACTGTTTAGGAAATACTAGCAGAACAATGAGGGAGGGAAGGAGGGAGGAACTGGATGGCATGCTGAATGACTTCTGTGCTACCTCCCTTGGCATGATTCATCCCTCAAGCCCCATGGGGGTAACCTATTTTTTTCATTTTATTTTTTCCTGTACAAGGTAGCTGGGATTGACACAGAAAGCACAGGTACGGAGGCGCTTCTTAAAACATCCTGCTATCAACAGAACTGGAGAAAGCAATTTTCCAACTACAACTCCCAGAATTTCCCCAAACCAGCATGGCCACTGGCCCTATTCGCAGGAGGGTTCTGGGACTTACAGTCCAAAAAATGTCACTTTCCCAAAGTCTGATCCTAACTGAGATCCAGTCGCTCAGTCCAGAGGTTTGTCCAGGAGACTACATCCAGTATGCATTTTATTTTATTATACAGTAGGGACCCCCTTATCCACAGGACCAGTAACTGCTGGTTCACTTCTCTGCTGCCTGAAAAGACTAAATAAAACCCCCAGAAATACATATTTCTATGTATTTTCAGGGTGTATTTATGAGGACTGGTTAGTAGAGGGAGCCAGAGACCATGTGTTCGATATTTCCATGTTTTTCAGCATCCACAAGGGGCTTGAGCCCTTGGATCCTGCTGTATTTTATTTTATTTCATGTCATTTTCTTGCTTATATTTCTATTCTGCTTTTTCTCACATGCGTTCAGGGTGGGACAGACGACTCTCCACCTCCTGACACCGTCCCTATGAGTTAGCTCAGGCAGAAAGAAAGAGCATGTGCGATTCACCCATCGGTCACCCAGTGAGGGTCCCTCCCTCTGTCGGGATCTGAACCCAGGTCTCTCAAAGCCCAGTCTGGCCTTTGAACCTCTGCCCCACACTGGGTCTCTGAGTCAGCACTGGGAGCGCGTCCGCCCTTCTCCCGGAAAAATAAGTCAGGGCTCTCGAGCTGGGTCTGCTTCTCCTCGGTAATCTAATCGTAGGAAATGAGAGGTTTCCGAAGACACAGGAGAGAATTCATTTGCACACGGGCAGGAGATAACGCTGATCTGCACGCACACAGTACAGAACTGTGATTTGCATAGAGACGCATTTTGAATTAAGCATGAACTGTATCATCTTCTCTCTCTCTCTCTCTCTCTAAGTCTTGTTTCCAATTTAATTTTCAGGCCCGCAAACAGTGCAGGAAATGCCTCAGATCCATGCTTCAGGAGCCCAAACGTTTTTTCCAGTTTTCAGATGGC